TGCTAACTGGTGCTAACTGGTGCTAACTGGTGCTAACTGGGCCTTCTGAAAATTGTAAATGTGCTTTAAAACACATGTCGATTATATTTCAGCAGCTTGTGATATCGTTGCTTTTTTAGAAAGCCAAATATGTCTCATGTCACAGATGTATCTCTTTGTTATCCTTGTGATTTTCATTTATACGGATATTTATTATTCTAGTTAGTTGACGGTGTTCGGTGTTTTATGGCTGAAGCATAAACTGTACATTAAAGATGGCCACCGTGATGTCACCATTTAGCGAGGTGTGAAGTGCTGAGCCGAGTGTTACACTGTTGCTATCCTGTTGTGTTGCCACGTGTGAGCAGCGTGTTCCTGAGAAACTCTGGGCCAGTGCTTAAAGGGCGACCCTACAACGCATCATCTTTGTTCATTTATATTCTTTTTGTTTTTAGACCATATTTGTCTAAATGAACATTTTCTGTTCAATATTCTAAATCTTTTTTTCAGGCCTACACCGTGTTCATTTGTCCCATACTTGACTAACTCGCCTTTAAACTGAGCTGAGTTGCCTAATTTCGGTAACTCTTTGGGAATCACCTTGTTATGTTTTGTTTGTCAAACTGGGTTATCTTTGGCATTTTTCATAGAAGCACAGAAATGAGAAAAGGTCTGTGTGGGTTTGTTTGCTGCTGGTAACATAGAGCCTAAAGATACAGTTTAAAATGTGTTGTTTGCTGAGTTATGTGTTAGACACATCACAGGTTCATCCTTTGAGTTCGGTGTGATTTTTACGTTTGATTCATAGGTCAACAAAACAAAACACTGTTCTCCTGGCGACGGTGATATGTTCAAAGACTGGACTGAAAATGAGTTAAAATGTAGCCAATGTCCAAAGAAACACCGAAAGGCTTTCATTAAGAACAGCGGCTCAACGCTGCTGAAACCTCTTCCTTACTTCCTGATACGCTCAGTGTGTTTGGCAGCATCATTTTACACACAGCAGCACAAATTAAATACTTTTTCTTTATCGCACCAAACCGACCATGTGAACTGTAACAGCGTTTAGTTCTCATCACGCTCGTCGGTGCACCTGGAGCTGTGGCACTCTGTCCTGTCAGCACTCGTGCCGCTGCGTCCGTGTCCACTCAGCACTGTGGGCTGCCAGCAGCTTCTGGAACTTCATGTGCTAGTCGTGTTG